CTCCGACACTTCCGCCATCTGCAATCCGACCCCACCACCAAAGACATCTTTCCCTCCCCACCCTTATCTGCTTTCCGGAGGGACCACTCTCTCCGGGACTCCCTTGTCTGCTCCACACTCCCCTCCAGGCCCACCACACCTGGCACTTTTCCCTGCAATCGCAGGAAATGCTACACCTGCCCCTACACCTCACCCCCATCCCAGGCCCCAAGAAGTCTTTCCACATCAAGCAGATGTTCACCTGCACATCTGCAAATGCGGTATACTGCATCCGCTGTTCCCGTTGTGGCCTCCTCTACATCAGGGAAACCAAGCGGAGGCTTGGGGACCGCTTTGCAGAACACCTACGCTCGGTTCGCACTAAACAACTGCACCTCCCAGTCGCGAACCATTTCAACTCCCCTTCCCATTCCTCAGACAACATGTCCATCCTGGGCCTCCTGCAGTGCCACAACGATGCCACCCGAAGGTTGCAGGAACAGCTTGGGAACCCTGCAGCCCAATGGTATCAACGTGAACTTCACAAGCTTCAAAATCTCCCCTCCCCCTACCGCATCCCAAAACCAGCCCAGCTCGTCCCCGCCTCCCTAACCTGTCCTTCCTCCCACCTATCCCCTCCTCCCACCTCAAGCCGCACCCCCATTTCCTACCTACTAACCTCATCCCGCCTCCTTGACCTGTCCGTCCTCCCTGGACTGACCTATCCCCTCCCTACCTCCCCACCTACACTCACCTCTACTGCCTCCATCGCCGCCTCTTTGACCTGTCTGTCTCCTCTCCACCTATCTTCTCCTCTATTCATCTTCTATCTGCCTCCCCCCTCTCCCTATTTATTTCAGAACACCCTTCCCCACCCCCATTTCTGAAGAAGGGTCTAGGCCCAAAACGTCAGCCTTCCTGCTCCTCTGATGCTGCTTGGCCTGCTGTGTTCATCCAGCTCTGCACGTTGTTATTTCAGCGTTAGGCTTGTCTCCTCCCCAGTTAGGGCATTTACCTTAACAATAGCACTGCAATAGCAAGGCGTGCAGGCATGGGGTTAACCAGGTATTCACCCAGCCTTGAGTAACTGAACACTTAGACAAACGCGAATCAGATGGAGGGAGCTAGTATAGATTTATCAACTTAAGTCACACCTAACCATTATAGTTGAATATTTTAAGCAAGTAGTTGACATTCCAGTTTTAAAAAAAGAGTATCTGGGACACACTTGATAATGTTTTACATTAGACAGTTCACAAAGTGAGAGTGCATGGAATCGGGGGCAATATGCAGAGAATTAATTAGGAGGGAAGAGAGAGCGAGGGGGAGAGTACAGATAAGGAGTATTCCTCCATTTGGCAGGATGTGACCAGTGGCATTCCATAAGAATCTGTCTAAGGATACATTGGGAAATCACTGAATCTTATGTGGAGAGGTTATTGAAGCTAAAAAAGTTCTCTATCCGGTAAGACATTGGTTGGAGAGGAACATTCCAGTTTTTGAAGAGGAGATCGGGATAATGTGGAGAAATCTTCTATTGTTAACTAGAAGAGATGATTGTAAGAACTCTGAAAGAACGCTGAAGTTTACTAAATTTGCCCACTTTGTGTACTTATTGGGAAAACCAGCTATGCATGATCTGCCATCCCTTTAAAAGTTAATAGACCAAAATGTCAGGCAGGGCACCCATCATTTCCACGTATTCAAAGCTGGTGGATGATGCTCACACCAGTGGGTTCCCATTTTTAAAATCAGCTTTTATAAACTAACTGACTCCAATCCCAAATGGAAGTTTTAAAACATTAAATACTCAGGGAAATTGCAGACAGTACGACAAAGTCATATTTATTCAGATAAACATTCTCAACAAACACATATACTTTTCATTAAGGATGAACGGAGATCAAATTAACTTGAACAAATATTGCAGTGAGACACTTGAAGCAAGCTTTGTTTTAGTCCTGTAATCTTCATTTTTAATGTCTTCTGTGGAATGTAACCCCTAGTTGAAAACTGTACTTCATAATGAAAGATATAGAAAGGTTTATATATAATATGATCTCTCCATACCCCAAAACACTTTACAGCCAAGTAAGTACAATAGGAGTGGTCACTATTTAAATGCAGGAAACTTGGTATCTGGTTTGACTACAGCAAGGCCCCATTAACAGCATTAAGGAAATGACAAATAATCTGTTTTAGTGATGTAGTGATGTTGGTTGAGTTTAAAAATTGCTAGGACACCTCTACTCTGGTTTGCAATAATACCTACCTAAAAGCACTTCAGATTAGCATCTAAATCAAAGGACAGAACCTCTGATAATGTAGAGCTATTCTGGTTTATTTGACCAGGTTCTTCATTTGGGAATGTTGGGTATTACCTTAAAAGTTTGAATCTAATTGTTTCTTTTTTTAATTTAGGGTGGGAGTGGGGCTTGGTGAAAGATTTTGGGGTAGGATTTTAAAGTTTTATTTCTGTGTCTATCCCCACACATTAATCCTTAGGAAGAGACCATGATAGCATGCAATCAGTTGGTAGGAAGGGGATGACTATCTCAAAACTTGTTCTCCCTTTGGCTCAAACCTTTCAGATTCCTTAATATGCCACTTGTATTCCCTGCAGTACTGTATCTGGACCGATGGACTGAACGCCCTGCTGGGAAAAGAGATGACAAGTGAACTGACGAAGAATGACCTGGATACTTTGCTAAGTATGGAAATGAAACTACGCCTGTTGGACCTGGAGAATATACAGATTCCTGAGACACCACCTCCCATTCCCAAAGAACCCAGCAGCTATGACTTTGTGTATCATTATGGTTGAGCAGTGAGATGACCAGCAACTTACAAGCACAAAAAAAATTTAAAGAAAAACAAACACAGCAACATCCTTTGAGCAAACATAACAACCTGTTCAACCAGCTATTTTTAAAAAAAGCCTTCATTGAGTACAAGTAGCGGAAAGACACAAAAGGCCAAATGCAGTTTCCACTCTGTTCTGGGGGAGCTGGAGGTTCAAGACAGACCTTGGACCCGTTAGAAAGAATTCTGTATTTAATATTTTAGACAGGTTTAAGAATTTGGATAATGTGATTTGCTGCAGTGACGTTTGTATGATGGTTCATAATTTATTAGTGTTCTAGTAGGCCAATCTGCTTATGTAGACTTTTCACTGTATGCAAATAATCCTGCATCCAATGTTATTCAATGCTATTGTTCCAATACTGGATAACGGATTGTGTTTGTATGATCTAGTCTGTATATAGTATGTGTGAATGTCATAGAACATATACACAGGAGAGTTTCCTTCGGATTGTGATATTTGAGATTGCCTTTGTGGTTGTCACCCAGGAATACTTTCTACTTGTTTTGTAAGCTCTAATTTTGAGCAGTGACTAATTTTGATGGAAATGTACTAGCTATTATTCTCTTCTTTAATCAGTTTATTCACCTCCTCGGAATCTCTGCTGCAATACCATTCTGGAGCTTGCAGCCGTGAAGTGAGGTGCAGAAATAGCTGGAGATACGGCTCAGCAGATGAGGAGAAGATGGCCCAGAAGTGGCCATGTATGTTTTTTCCTAAATACCAATTCTGCAATCCGGTGCCATTCATAAACTGTTCAAGTTCACTTTCCATCTTTTGTGATTTAAACCATTAGATTACTGCCTTGCAGTTTATTCTGATCATCCTTTGACTTTATAATTTAGATAGTCCAGGTGTACATATCAGAGTGGTGCTGGTAGATCATGGTTGAATAGCACTAGGCTTTTTAACAATATTAGAGCTCTGGCAAAGATGCTTAGTCTCCTCTGTTTCCCACCTTTGCACCAAAATTTAATTTTCATTTGAGATCTTCTCACGGGTATTCAACTGAATAGGTACCTGAATAGGTTGGATTGTAGGTAATGAATTGTAAGGTACTCAGTTGTTCTTGGTAAGCAGGTACACGAATGAATTGGATTACAGACACTGAATTCAAAGGGTACTTGAATAGCGTAAATGAGGACACTGATTTATACAGAAATGCAAAACAACTAGATTATAAAATACTGAAATCAAAGGGTCAGTTTGCTAAGAAGACTAACTTTGCTTTTGAGCCATGTAATGAGTGGGCTCGAATATTGCTGCATCTGAGCTTTCTATGAATAATGCAAAATTATAAGTCTCGAGCTTCATTTGTGTCGATAAGTATTACTAACTTCAGGTAACATTATTAGCATGTTACCATTCTGTCAATAGCAAACCTGTATTTTATTGGGTGACTGGAAAAAAAAGTCTCTTTGCTGATGCATTGGACATGCAGATTTATAATGGAGTGACTTTATTCGGTCTGTTTAATTATGGCAGGGCAGAAATTGAATTGTCGGGAACAAATGGCATAATTTACATCCACTTCAAAACTTGGATACTGTTGCATCATGCAGGCTGGTTTTATATTTAGTGGTGGTAACAGGCTTTTTCAAAGGGAATACATGATGAGCTATAAAATATTAGCAATGCATCTAACTTCAGCTTGTCCCATAACTTCTCATCCATGATTTTCTAACTATGAGAACATGGTGCTTTAGATTTATGGTCTTTGTTGATTGGGGGTTAAGATTGCATTTTCTCCCTTCTAAAGGAATAAGAAGTCTTAACAGCAGTTTACACTTGACAAGACGCATTTTATTGAGAAATATGTTTTTTATATTTACAATAATTAGATATTTGGGACAGAGTCAGAAGCTTTAGAATACATTTGATACTTCTCAATACTTTACAGATGCTGCATTAATGTAGTAAATGTTACTCAGTTGAGGAACAGATTATGGGGAAGCAAAGTAAGTCATCAAACTAAATTAGGACCTGCAAACCTATCCAAGAACATTTAAATTACACACTAGGAAGAGGCGTCCATGTAAACAAATACAGGAAATTGTGCCTTTTAAGTAACTGAACTATAAAGTGGATTGCATTTTAAGTAGATACCATTGTTACATTCTTCCTACAGAAGAGTATTGGACAGACATTATACTTGCTGATTGGATCATTCTCATACCCAAAATAACAGAGCATTAGATTTTAAAACAATCAGTTCTGGCACAGTGAATATGGGCAGTAATGTCCTGTGAATTAATGACAATCTGCCAGATGTATTCTTCTAATAAACATAATATTGTAAAAGAGAGAGATATAAAAAGAAGAACATCAAGTACTGAAAACAAGAAAGATGCTAGAAATCCAGTGCCAGAGTCACTCACTCTGGAAAACACTGAAAAGTTCTTGCTCTGTCAAATATGCATTAAAATGATGCTTTCTACACCTTCCTCTGCAGCCAAGCTGGTCCTCCTGCAGTGCCACAACGATGCCACCCAAAGGTTGCAGGAACAGCAACTCATATTCCGCTTGGGAACCCTGCAGCCCAATGGCATCAATGTGGATTTCACAAGCTTCAATATCTCCCCTCCCCCTACCGCATCCCAAAACCAGTCCAGCTCGTCCCTGCCTCCCTAACCTGTTCTTCCTCCCACCTATCCCCTCCTCCCACCTCAAGCCACACCTCCATCTCCTGCCGACTAACCTCATCCCGCCCCCTTGACCTGTCCGTCCTCCCTGGACTGACCTATCCCCTCCCTAACTCCCCACCTACACTCACCTTTACTGGCCCCATCCCCGCCTCTTCGACCTGTTTGTTTCCTCTCCTCTATCCGCCTCCCACTCTCTCCCTATTTATTTCAGAACCCCCTTCCCCTCCCCCTTTTCTGATGAAGGGTCTAGGCCCAAAATGTCAGCCTCTTTGCTCCTATGATGCTGCTTGGCCTGCTGTGTTCATCCAGCCCTGCACCTTGTTGTCTCGGATTCTCCAGCATCTGCAGTTCCTACTATCTCTGATTAAATTTTACCCTGGCAAGGCTGTGGGATAAGTACAAGAACCAGTTATAGTCATCCAACTGAATGGTCATTATTGCTTAAGTAGAAATTGTCTCTAGTGCTTGCCTTTCTTAAAAAAAGTACAACATTTTGAAAAGTAAGTTCACTTTCTATATGTTGCTGCTTTCCTCTTCGGTAAGCCTTGATGTCTGGAAAGTGTGCCATCGTCTCCTGTTAATTCAGTGTGGGCTGGCTGCGATCACTTTCAAACTGGCGGGAACATTTGAGGAGACCATTCAAAATCCCTACCGATAGGTGGGAACCTGAAGAATCCTCTGTAAAGACCCTGTTGGAAATGGAAGCAATCTCGCCTGGGTGTTGAACATCGTTTTCTAAAATAACCTCTACTCCCACAAATGTTTAAATCAAACGGATCCCAGAGTTTTTAAAGCCTCAATTTATTGACATAAAAATAGTTAACAATTTATTATGATCCTTCCATTGTGATAATCCCAGATGAGTGATCTTTACTGTGATTTATGTATGAAACTATTTTTAATGTCATTTGGGAGAATATTTGTCTATTATACTGTTAATGGTCAGAATGTTATAATGGCTGATAAGATTTAAAAAAAACAAAACGGTAACATTTACACAATAAACAGAACACTCTTGCTGTTTTGAGTCTTCATTTTTGTTCCAGAAACCTGGGATAATTTGGTAACCCTGCAGTTTTGCTTCAGTGAATTAGTAAAATTATGATATGACTATGTGGCCTATTAGCAAATTTGAAAGTTCCATCGGTCCAAACTCAGGATTTTGCATGGTCATCCTTTATAGATGGACAGAGTAGGCTCGATGCTTAATGTCACCTCAGAAAAGGTGACCAGTGGTGCTATTCTTTTAATATCGTTGTTAAACCAGGCACATTCTTGAGAAATCATGTTAACCCCCCCATCACTGAATCTCTAACTCTTTTTGGCTAGGTGCCCTCCGTTCTCAGTAAAATCTTAATCCAGAATATCATGAGTTTAAACACGTTTTATTGGCTTTTCCCTAACCCCCTCCCCCCACTCTTAAGTAACTTAAACCAGCCTTGGTATCCTTAATGTAATTGCACTTACAATGGGATCAATTGTGCACAAGGCATCCAGAGACTGTAGCTTGCAGGTTTGAATACAAAACAATTGCAGATGAGAAAAGGTCGTCTCAGGCCATTCACATAAAAAGTCTACAATTAAATTGTTGTTAAAACAGAAATTGCTGGAAAAACTCAGCAGATTGTGGAATTATGGAATTGATTTATGAAGAGGGGCCACTGGACTTGAAACTCTGTTTCTCTCTCCACAGATCAGACCTGCTGAGTTTCTCCAGCAATTACTGTTTTTGTTTCAGATCTTCAGCATCCTCAGTTCTTTGTTTTAATTAAATTGTTGTATTCAATGAGTCTTGAATGACTCTTTAAATGTCAAAGTCATCAAGATTTAGAGTTTATTTGGTAGAGAAAAAGTGTCTAAGAGTATACAGTGCTTACTAACAACAAAACATTATCACCTCAGGGTCCAGACAGGCTGACTGCAAGGGTTTTAATCATTTGCATTTTGGAAGATTGTATTTGATCATACAAAAGAACAAGTAACAGTACAGCACACAAACAGACCATTTGGCCCATCAAGATGGTGCCAACATATTAGTCCTTCTAAACTAAAATCCTTTTTCCTACTGTATCCCTCTATTCCCTCCTTATTCGTATAGTCAAGATGCCTCCTACATCTCCTTCAAACTTACTCCCTTTTACCTTAAACCATGTCCCCTTGTAATTGATATTTCTACCCTGGGAAGAAGACTCTTAACTATCCATTCTATCCATGCCCTCATAATTTTGTAAACTCCTTTAAGGTTACCCCTGATCCTTTGACACTTGATTGTCATCATCAAAGATTGGTTATCCATTCACTATTGATTGTTTTGTGGATCTAATGTAATGCTAAGAGATGCAGACATTAAATGTCTTTTATTTCTGCGGCCTATCAAAGAGATATAGATAATATCTCTGTGTGTAAGCCTGTTTGAACAATTGGAAGCTGAAGGAAACAAAGTGAGGTTGAGGTTACAGCAAATTAATGTCTGCGGTTTCAATTTCAATGCTGGGTTGTTTTAGGAAAAAATATGATTTGTTTTGATTGGATTTCAGACCTGGCTAGTATAACTCCCACTCCTCTTTAATATATCACCAGTCCATTTCTTGTAATAAGGCCCCTAGGTTGAGAGGGTTTCCTTATACCGAGAGGCAAAGTGGCTTTTATTTTTAATTCATTTGTGGGTCATGGGCATCGCTGACTGGGCCAGCATTTATTGCCCATCCCTATTTGCCCCCTAGAGAAGGTGGTGGTGAGCTGCCTTCTTGAACTGCTGCAGTCCACATGCTGTGAGTTGACCCATAATGCCATTAGTAAGGGAATTCCGGGATATTGACCTAGCAACAGTGAAGGAACAGCGACCGTGTTTGGCTCTATAATTCTAAGAATGAGATCTCATTGAAACATAGAAGATTCTGACAGAGCTTAACAGGGTGGATTTTGAGGAGGAGTTTTCCCTGGCTGGGAAGTCTGGACCATGGAGGCACAATTCTCAGGACAAGGGGCTGATCCACTCAGGGTTGAGACGAGAAACTTCGTCACTTGGAGGTTGTGAATCTTTGGAATCCTCTACATCAGAAGGTCATGGATATTCCATTGTTGGATACAATTAACACTGAGATAGATAGGTTTATTTGTTTCTCAGGGAATTGAGGGATATGAAGAAAAGGCAGTAAAATGGAGTTGAGGCTGAAGATTAGCCACGATTGTTCTGATTGGTAGATCATAACCAAGGGGTTGTGTGGTCTACTGTTCCTATTTCTTATGTTCTAGCTCTCAATATGCAGGTAAGTGTGGAGAAGGGAGGAAGAGTTCCTGAGGCCATGTGGTAAGGCTAACTCTCTTTGCCTTCATCCCTTTTATTTATATTTTCAAAAATTGTATCCAATAAGTGAATTTCCAAGTTCACCTTTCTTTATCAGACACTTTTCCTCTTCCTCCTCTCTAATTCTATGGGCCTGATAGCCAGTCACAACAGAGTCAGGAAACAATCCAGGGTGTTCATCCAGTAATTTGCATTTTCACTGAGGCCAATATTTTGGAATCAGTCAGGTTATTTCCCAAGATAAAATCAATTCCTTCTATAGTGATTTGTTTAACTAATCCAACTGCAATTTCTCTTAAAGTCACTCTTTATTCCCACACTGCATAATGAGACTGGCATGTAGCCATCCCAGGAATCCGTCTGGTAAACTTCTGCTGCACTCCATCTACAGCAAAAACGTCCTTCCTCAGATAAACTGACTAAAACTGCACATGCTATTCCAGGTCCAGTCTCACCAAGGACCTGTATGATTGCAGCAAGATATCCCTGTTCTTCATTTAATTGTCTCACTATGAAGTCCAATACATTATTTGTCTTCTTTATTGCCTGCAACATTTTTTTTTATTCATTTGTGGGATGTGGGAGTTGCTGGCTGACCAACATTTCTTGCCCATCCATAGTTGCCCTTAAGAAGGTGTTCGTGAGCTGCTTTTTTGAACCGCTGCAGTCCTTCTGCTCTGGGTTGAGCCACAATGCTATTAGGGATGGAATTCCAGGATTTTGACACAGTGACAGAAAGGCGATATATTTCCAACTTAGGAGGATGAGTGACTTGGAGGGGAACTTGGAGGTGGTGGTGTTCCCATATGTCTGCTGCCCTTGTCCTTCTAGATGGAGTGGTCATGGGTTTGGAAGGTGCTGTCTGAGGATCTTTGGTGAATTTCTGCAGTGCATCTTGTAGATAGTACACACTGCTGCTACTGAGCGTCGGTGGTGGAGGGAGTGAATGTTTGTGGATGTAGTGCCAATCAAGCGGGCTGCTTTGTCCTGGATGGTGTCAAGCTTCTTGAGTGTTGTTGGGGCTGCACTCATCCTGGCAAGTCGGGAGTATTCCATCACACTCCTGACTTGTGCCTTGTAGATGGTAGACAGGCTTTGAGGAGCAAGGGGGTGAGTTACTCGCTGCAGTATTCCCAGCTTCTGGCCTGCTCTTGTAGCCACTGTGTTAATGTGGTGAGTCCAGTTGAGTTTCTGGTCAATGGTAACCACCAGGATGTTGATAGTGGGGGATTCGGTGATGGTAACACCATTGAATGTCAAGGGGCGGTGGACTGATTGTCTCTTGTTGGTGATGGTCATAGCCTGGCATTTGTGTGGTGTGAATGTCACTTGCCAGCCCAAGCCTGGATATTGTCCAGACCTTGTTGCATGTGAACATGGACTGCTTCAGTATCTGAGGAATCACGAATGGTGCTGAACATTGTGCAATCATCGGCGAACATCTCCACTTCTGACCTTATGATGGAGGGAAGGTCATTGATGAAGATGGTTAGGCCTGGGAGACTACCCTGAGGAACTCCTGCAGAGATGTCCTGGAGCTGAGATGATTGGCCTCCCAGAACCATGACCATCTGCCTATGTGTCGGGTATGACTCCAACCACTGGAGTGTTTGTCCCCTGATACCCATTGATACCAGTTTTGCCAGGGCTCCTTGATGCCACACTCGGTCGAATTCAGCCTTGATATCAAGGGCTGTCACTCTCGCCTCGCCTCTGCAATTCAGCTCTTTTGTCCATGTTTGAACCAAGGCTGTAAAGAGATCAGGAGCTGAGTGGCCCTGGCGGAACCCAAACTGGGTGTCGCTGAGCAGGTTATTTCTGAGCAGGTGCTGCTTGATAGCACTGTTGAAGACACCTTCCATCGCTTTACTGATGATTGAGAGGAAACTGATGGGGTGGAAATTGGTCGGGTTGGATTTGTCCTGCTTTTTGGGTACAGGACATACCCAGGCAATTTTCCACATTGTCGGGTAGATACCATTGTTGTAACTGTACTGGAACAGCTTGGCTAGGGGAGTGGCAAGTTCTGGAGCACAAGTCTTCAGTACTATTGCCGGAATGTTGTCAGGGCTCGTAGCCTTTGCAGTATCCAGTGTCTCCAACCATTTCTTGATATCATGTGGAGTGAATCGAATTGGCTGAAGACTGGTATCTGTAATGGTGGGGACCACTGGAGGAGGCCAAGATGGATCATCCACTCGGCACTTCTGGCTGAAGATTACTGCGAATACTTCAGCCTTATCTTTTACACTGATGTGCTGGGCTCTTCCATCATTGAGGATGGGGATATTTGTGGAGCCTCCTCCTCCAGTGAGTTGTTTAATTGTCCACCACCATTCATGACAGGGTGTGGCAGGACTGCAGAGCTTAGATCTGATCCATTGGTTGTGGGATCGTTTAGCTCTGTCTATCACTTGCTGCTTTTGCTGTTTGGCGTGCAAGTAGTCCTGTTTGGTATCTTCACCAGGTTTATACCTCATCTTCAGGTATACCTGGTGCTGCTCCTGGCATACCCTCCTGCACTCTCCATTGAACTAGGGTTGATCCCCTGGTTTGATGGTAATGGTTGAGTGAGGGAATATGTTGGGCCATGAGGTTACAGATTGTGCTGAAGTACAGTTCTGCTGCTGTTGATGGCCCACAGTGCCTCATGGATACCCAGTCTTGAGTTGTTAGATCTGTGCAAAGTCTGTCCCATTTAGCACGGTGATAGCGCCACACAACACG